TGTTTGTTTGTTTGTTTGTTTGTTTGTTTGTTTGTTTGTTTGTTTGTGTGTGTGTGTGTGTTTGTTTGTTTGTTTGTTTTGTTTTGTTTTGTTTGTTTTGTTTGTTTGTTTTGTTTGTTTTGTTTTGTTTTGTTTTGTTGTGTTTTGTTGTGTTTTGTTTTGTTTTGTTTTGTTTTGTTTGTTTGTTTGTTTGTTTGTTTGTTTTGCTTGTTTTGTTTGTTTGTTTTGTTTTGTTTGTTTGTTTGTTTGTTTGTTTTTCCCGAATGCGTAGCGAAGGCTTCCCGTTTATAGTTGGGGGTCTGGGGGTTGGAGCTGTGTTTGCATGGCTTGCGTCGTCTCGTCGTCTCTCGTCGTCTCTCGTCGTCTCTCGTCGTCTCTCGTCGTTTGTCGTCGTCTGTCGTCGTCTGTCGTCGTTTGTCGTCGTCGTTGCGTCTCAAATTCGCTGCCATTGGGGGAATCTTTTGCAAGTGACTTTGCATGGATGTGTCACGTGTCAGTTTGCGCCGCTATTCCATTGTGATTTGCATGACAATGACATGTCGCGCAAGGAACGTGATGCATTTCGCTGCACAGGCGCAGCATTTTTGCGAGATCCGCAGATTGCTGCGCAGTTCCATTGGGATTAGCGTTTGGAGAGTCGTGTTTTTGGGGTGTTGGATGTGGCCGTGCCATTGGGATTTGCGTTTCAGGGTGTGGCATCGAAGCTCGGTTTTCGTGACAAGTCTCAGCTGAAATGGCGACTTTGGTGGATGGGAGTGTGCTCAGAACGGGTCGAAATCATTCCAAACGTATGGTGTGGTGCAAATTTTGTTGAAGCTCACATGAGATGATATTGTCACTTTTCGTGGCAGGCGCAGGACTTTGTGCGGGTTTTGAGGCGTGGAAGTGCGATTCTCGTGGGAGGCGCAGGGAATCGTGAGGTTGCGAGGTGTGACGGAGGTGAGAACTGGCGACTTTGTAGTACAACTTTAGTACGCGGAGCAATCTGTGGAGGTGGAAGCTGAGAACTGGCGACGTTGTAGTACAACTTTAGTACGCGGAGTATCTGGGGAGCTGGAAGAGTGTCCCACAAGAGTGTCCCGCAACAGTGTCGCACTAGAGTGTCTCACAAGAGTGTCCCTTAAGAGTGTCCTACAGGAGTATCCCACAAGAGTGTCCTACAAGAGTGTCCCACAAGAGTGTCCCACAAGAGTGTCCCACAAGAGTGTCCTACAAGACTGTCCCACAAGAGTGTCCTACCAGAGTGTCCAACAAGAGTGTCCCACAAGAGTGTCCCACAAGAGTGTCCCACAAGAGTGTCCCACAAGAGTGTCCTACAAGAGTGTCCCACAAGAGTGACCGACAAGAGTTTCCTACCAGAGTGTCCCACAAGAGTGCCCTACGAGAGTGTCCCACAAGAGTGTCCCATAAGAGTGTCCCACAAGAGTGTCCTACAAGAGTGTCCCACAAGAGTGTCCCATAAGAGCGTCCCACAAGAGTGTCCTACAAGAGTGTCCCAAATGACCCACAAGAGTGTCCTACAAGAGTGTCTCACAAGAGTGTCCCAGAAGAGTGACCCACAAGAGTGTCCTACAAGAGCGCCCCGTAAGAGAGACCCACAAGAGTGTCCTACAAGAGTGTCCCAGAAGAGTGTGCCACAAGAGTGTCCTACAAGAGTGTCATTTGGACATATGTAATTTTTCGGACGTGTTTGCATTCGGGTTCGTGGGTTCCATCTTGTTTTAGTTCGTTTTTTTCTTGTTTTGTATTCTATGTTTTGTTTTTTTGGTTTGGTTTGGTTTGGTTTGGTTTGGTTTGGTTTCGTTTGTTTGTTTGTTTGTTTTTTTGGTTTGGTTTGGTTTGTTTGTTGTTTTTTGTTTTGTTTGTTTTGTTTTGTTCTGTTTGTTTTGTTTTGTTTTTTCTTTGTTTTGTTTTGTTTTGGTTGGTTGGTTGGTTTGTTTGTTGGTTGGTTTGTTTGTTTATTTATTGTTTGTTTGCAAGGTTGAGGTTATTGAGGTTCAGCAGGGTAGCATCATGTATATAGATGTCAGGTACGAGTTGTTTGAATTTGTTTTATTTGTTTGTAGGTTCCTTCCACGTTAGGTAAGAATTACTTGTAGGTTCCATCCATCTTAGATGTTTTTGACATCTCACAGTTGTCTTCCAGTCTCAGTATGACCAGAATCTTGGGACCTGGCAGGCAGAACACATTTTCATCATTCGATCCACCGACGGCTTGTTCCTCCTTTTCTTTTCTGCCCGAATAAGATGGTTCAACAGAGAATCGCCATCGTTTCGCATCCGAGAACAAACAACTAGGAAGACACAAGTTGGACCTGGTGGAAAACAACGAGGTCCTTAGGCTAGACATGGGCAGACGCGAGAATTCGTCCGGCAGGGTTTGTAAACAGCTGACGTGGACGAACGTAAACTCCCTCTGTTGGTGGAATTCCTGCAGCTGGACACACCAGAACATCGCAACAGTACCGGTGCAGGAGCTTCTTCTCTAAGAAGATTGGCAGCAGTGTGTGACTGTATGAAGCCAGTGAAAGAAACAGTTGTTTCTGCGGCGTGGACACTTCCACACTTCACGCTCTCCCAGACACTCCATGGGACCATATTTTGGTTGATTTCAGGAATCAATCTAGTAGGTTGGTATATTAGGCTGTGGGTCTGTTCATGTTCGGTGAGAAAAACCCAGGGTGTTTTGCACCTGCCACGACCCACAACGACTTAATGGCAGTTTTATGGGTCCTATGGATCATTGTGGTGGTCAGTTCACATCAGCAGCGGCGAACTCGCCTCCTTCCGTTCATCCTCTCAGGTGGGGTGGTCGTGGATTCAGCTCGTGTTGAAGGCGTCGAAGATTGGGAGACGGAATGGTCTACAATGGGTGCTGGGTGAAGGCCATTGGTATTGGTATGGAGGATTTTCAGAGTGTGAGGGTGGATCCCTAGTTTCAGAGTTCATTTTTCTGCGGAAGACCTTTTCAGACGGTGTCAGAGGATATGTTAGCATTTGTTCAGCATTCCGGCTGCAAGATCAGGACGTCTAATATAGTCATCATGGGCGTTTGGGCTTTGGATCTAGGCCCAAGAGCTTGGCCTTGGAGCTCCGCATACACGACGGAGCACCGTGGTGAGGACCATAGGAGTTTCACCGGCCCACGGGTTTTCTTATACCTGCTAGCCTCCGACGAACACATCACAGTGAAGTGGAAAACCCCTTGTAAAGGAAACTAGGAAACTGGTCTTCCAAGGGCCTTCCGCTTCCCTGTTCGTGAGTCACTGTGTGTGAGGATCATGTGATATGATGTGTGATATGATGTGAAGGTATCAAAGGTCGAACAACCGAGCCCAAAGACAAATCATTGGGTGCTCATGTAATTCGGCGAAATCAAGAGTCACGCTATTTGGGTCTGTACCATGACCTGTAACAGTCAGTAAACAATTATACAGGAAACCTACGTTTCGTTTAGTTTCGTATTTAAATGGTTCGTTTCGTTTCGTGTTCGTTTTCTTTTTTGTTCGTTTCGTTTCGTTTCGTTTTATTTTTTGGGTGGGTTCGTTTCGTTTCTTTTTTTATTTTTCGATTCGGTTCGGTTCGTTTACCGTTTCATGTTTTTTCGGTTCGGTTCGATTCGTTTATCGTTTCCGCTGCCATATTTTTATTACAGTATCAGTATCAATATATAATCATCCTGTACCTTCCATTGATACATTGTCTTGCGTACCAAGTCCAAATGCGCTCGAACTGCAGAAAGCGCTCGATTTCAACAAAAAGACCCGAATCAAAAATAAGTGCTCGAGGCATACTGTAATGGTGCTACCTTATTTCACACTCCCTCTGGACGCCAGATCCCACTCATCCCTTTTCTGCCGCCCCTTCACTGCCAATGTCCATGCGCATCGTGCACAAGTTCGAAGGCAACATGCAAGGCCTGACGCTCAGCCAGCGTTCTTTGCGCTGCGGTTTGAGGGGCGGTACTTCGGCCCACTCGGCTCGGCTAATCCTTCCCACAAAGTCTTCGTCCGCCCAGGTCATGAAGGCGGTAATGTTTAGGAAGTGGCTAGCACTAGGGAAGTCAAGCAGAACAGATCGTAGGCCTAACCTAAGTTGACTGCAGCTGGGACTTTCTCGACCGAGGGTGAGTTCATGATTTGCTGCAAGTCCTGAAACATAAGTTCGGGCTAGCCACACCAAGTATGCAAACATAGGCAACGTTGGCCGAATTCTGTAGAGGTGGTAGCCGCTTTTTGCACAAATCCTCAAACTGTCCATCCGTGCCAGCCGTGCTGTGCCGATGCAGTCACGTCGCGGGGGCCTCGTGACGGCGCTGGGCTTCGACGTCTGGCCAGACACCCCCCTGGTGACGAAGGGTGCTGTGGCGCTGGCCGATCTCTGCCCCACGGTCCCGGTCGCTTGAGTTTGGTGCCAGGACCTTCACTTCATGGGGTTTAGGTTGGGTGATATGTCGGCGTTGTTTGTACAGTTTACCCGTCGCAGGTCGTCAAGCGGCAGAAGTGCCATGTTTGGAAAGAGGATTTGTTTTAGGCAGGATACCTTTAGCCTTGATCGACCACAGCTCCTAGTCCAAAGCCACTTGCGGATTGCTGGGTTAGTTTGGGAGAGCGTGCCACCATTAGCATCATTAGCCCTTTCTTGGATGGTCTCCCTCCGGTTGGTTTGTTGAGAGATTTAGCAGTGATAGTGCATGTTCTTGTTGTAGAAGCGGGGCATGTAACATCACAAGAATAAAGAATCAACATGTGTTTGGTCACGGTTCAGATCAAGGAAATCTGTGACAATCTGTGACAATTCCGGATAGCCATGCTTAGGCCTTTCGGGAGCTGGACCGAACTTCCAGAACGCTGCTTTTGGGCGCTCGCCACATGGACAAGAAGTGGGCGCTGCTCTGCATCGGCGTCATGCGGTTCATGTGTGTGACGGAGGCGCGGGAGTCAGGCTTCAAGAATGCGGCGCGTTCTGCTTGACATTTTTGTCCATGATGACCACTCATTGCACTGACCACCAACAAGAAATGCAAGCGTTTGCTCTGTGCTTTGCCCGACATTTTGGAGCTTAGGAGATGGGATGTTATCAGCTCACACCCTCTTTGAATTTTGGAGTGCCAAACTCCGGATCCCCAAGTCACGGATTCACTTTCCCTGAAGCAGGAGCGGTGGCGGGACCTTTTCGATGCCATTGGGTGGTCCGCTCGCAGCTGGGCCGGGACTTGTGCGTGGGAGGACCGCTGGTTGGTCTGGGCAGCAGTGAAAAACCTGGATGGACAGCCGCGGGCGTACCATCCTATTGGTCGTGGCCTGACCGACGCAGAGCTCCGGAACAAAGCCGGGAGCTTTCTCAAGAGCTGGGTCCATCACGTTGACCGCAACACGTGGATGGCGCTGCTGGATACGAGCGCCGCCAAATTTGCCAGCTACCAGGCCAGGATTTCCTAGAACATTTCTCAGTTTGTCGCATATCTATACCCAAGCCCACCTTATCCGTTGAGTTTTCCACTTCTTGGGGTCGCTCTCATGGGGAGTAAGATTTTTTCCACTAATTTCCATCAATTTCATCGTTGGAGGCCCGAGGTGGGAGAAGGCTTGAGCGAACTTGTCTCTCTCTCTCTCTCTTTTACACACTCTCTCTTACTTGAGTGCCTGCAGTTTATGACTCCAATCCAAGTGAACAAGCCGGCCAGGCATCGATGGATGCAGAGTGGCTGGACCTCCGCCACAATACCAAAATACTGGTCGGATGTGGCGCAAGATGTCCAGGAGCGAAGAAGTCTCTGACGCCGGATCAGCTCAGGCTGGTCCGTGATTGTTTGCATTGTGTCATGCCCGGGCCAAGTGTTGATTTGATCCAGTGATTGACAACTGTCTTAATGGGATCTGAAGGGGCTTATGTTTGGGGCACAGTACAAGGAGCGATTGGGTCAGTGACCTAAGACACCCGGCCATCTCAATGCAAATCCCGTTGCGTTGCATCTGCGGGCCTTTGGGCGCAGGTTCGTTTGGAGGAGAGCCGCCAAACACGAAAAGTTCCAAGCAGAGCTTTGTGCTTTAGGGCTTTCGCCCAGCAGCTGGTCACTGCACTGTTGTCAGTTTTGGGCTTGTGACAGATCTCGGCAGCCTATGCCCAACAGGGTCTTTGAGGCTAAGTTAAAGCGCGACATGCTTTTTGCGACCAACAATGATAATGGTCTGCTTGGGTGAGGAGTGGAGGATGCCCGTGAAGTGAAATGGAACATAGCAATATATAACATATATGCTATTATATATATATGTGTATATATTGATACAGAGTATTGAAAGAGAAAGTCTCAATATAGTATGGTGCCCCTACGTGCGGCGAACATAGCAGCAGATACACCGGGCACAGCCGGTGGGAACAGGGAGAAGGCCTCCGTGCGGGCAATGCTGGGCTTGGACAGGCCGGCCGATCAGTGGCGTGTCAATTAATGCTTGCAGAGGCGTGAGGACGCCTGCGGCAGGAATAGACCACTTCGTTTTCCCGTGCCACATGCTCCTGCCATTCCCCCACGCACTTCTGCTAGGGGAGCGGCGCCGGGGCTCATGACTTGGTGTGGCTGTGGCATGCAGTTTCTTGCAGGTTGGGATGAAGAAGCAGGAGTGCGAGTTCTGGGTTTTCTTCGAGAGGGGGTGAACTAGACAAGAAACATTGCATGAGTGGTGGAATTCCTTTTAATTGAGTTGGAAGCTTCTTGGCGACAGTCGTTCCAAAAAGGGGTCTGAAACTGGTCTGAAAAGAAAAGAGTTCACTTTGTGGGAGCCATATACTGTGTGTAGTAGTGAGTGCGCCAGCCATTGGACCACAAAGATTGCAGCCACTTACTGCAATGCAACCTCTCCCCATGGCTGGAAGGTGTCGCCCACTCTTCAAGCGACTCATCATCTTTTGTGATTGTCAGACCGCCTTAGCTCACTTCACCCTGATCTGGCCACTTCGTGGCCCCGGCGTTCGAAGCACTAGGTGCGATGGCTGCTGCCCACCGTGCTTCCTCCAAGCGCAGCGGCTTTTGCCGGGGGCCGGCAGTGCAGAGCATTTGTTTGGAGCAGCAGGACATTCGGAGGTGTGCAGAGCTGAAGACATTGGCAGACAAGAAGCCAGTCTACTTTTTGCTAGTGAACTAGCCTTTAATTCCTTTATTGGGAATCGCATCACAGGGAATCGTTTCACTTATAGGGTCAAGAAGATCAAGAAGCATTATAGTATTCTTTTTAACAGTCAATTTTTTGTCCTTTGGCAAGGAGAGTGCTATTCGGGGAACTATCGTTTGTTATTCTTTTCATTATTATGATGAGATAACTATCTCATTTGTTGAAGAACATGAAGTTTCAACTGCGTCCTCCAAGTCCTCCAAAGGCTACGCCAGCAACTCCTTGCCCCACGGATTTGAGGGATGAAAGGAAGAGCGAAGAGCAGGGACAAAGAGAAGGGCCAAAGGGGAAGGCTCTAGCAGACTTTAGCATGTGTTCTGCACAAGAGTGTGCAATGTTCCATTGTTCCTGTTGAGGGTTTCTGCCAGCTTGGAAGTCCAAAGGGCACAAGGGTGCAGAAGGCTAACCAATTTTGATTTGAGGTTCCTTGTTTGGTGTAGCGGGGAACTTTGACGGACTTCCCCATACCTCCTCAAAACAACAAAACCTACGAGGGCCTATGATACTTCAGAGCTTCATTTAGTTTCCCTTCTTCTCAACAACTGTTTTGAGCGCAACAAGTTCCAAGGAAGTCGTTAGTGGGCTTCCGTTTAGAGCGCTGGTCGCTTTGAGATCCTGGTGTAGGTTTCTCATGCGCCCAAATTTTTCAAGCCCCACTCATCCAATGACTGAGCTGAGCAGCTTCTATCAGCCTAGCATTCCGCAACCAAAAGAACCACTCATTTGTTTTAAACCTTGGTCCAAACAGACAGACGCTGAGCCAACCACAGCAACTAAATCCCAGGTCGCACCCGATCCCA